TCTTGCCCCCCCCCTTTTTTACAACTGCATAATATTACATTTTGTAGATGTAACATTGTTTACTCAACCATACATCAATGATATTTAGGTTGTTTGCATCCATTATGAAACTTTGAGTTGTTATATCTTCTGGGTAGATTCCTAGCAGCAGAGTGTCTTGTTCAGAAGTTAAGTATATATGTGTTTTTCTTAAATCCTGCCAAATATTCCCCTCCAGAAGGTTGTGCCAGCCCGCATTCCCTCCAGTAATACATGAAAGTGCTTTTTCCTTCACAGCCTCACCAACAGACTGTGCTGTCAGATTCTTCACGTTCCCCGTGTAATTGATACGAAATGGTGTGTCAGTGTGGTTTAACATTTCACTAATTGTGACTCAGTTTGAAATTTTCTTCATATATTTAAAGCTGTTTTCATATATTTTGTTGTAAATTGTCAGTTCCTGTCTTTTGTTGTATTTTTATATCAGTGATTTTTGCCCTTGGTTGCCTAATTGTCCGTGTTCATTATGTGCCAGAGATTTTAGCTCTCTGCCTGTGTTATATGTTGGGATTTATTTCTCCCAATCTAACAGTCATCTTCTGACTTTATTTTTGCCCCCTTACAAGTGTTTCTTTTAGTGTAATGTGTCCATCTTTTCTTGCCTCTGGGTTATGAGTCATAATTAGAAAGCCTTTCCCTTCTATGTATACTTTGAACCTCAAGTCTGTTGCCATTTTCTCTTGGCCATTATGAAGTTTTGCCCCCTCAGAAAAAAAGCAGATGAAGTGCATTGTGACTTTCAGGTTCTCTCTTCGCCTCTCACCTCTCTGCCTGTGGAAATGCCTGTAGTGAGTTATTGCGTAGCTGCGATCAACGTGTAAGTTTCAGAACTACAGCTTTTAGTCTGTGTGATTTTTAAAAATGAATGTCCTTTATGAGTTGCACTTAGCACATAAAAATGGCATATTAAAATTGCACTGGAATTAGGAATTACCCTTGCATAATTTATCCCTTTTCAAGGCTCAGTAAATACCATTGTGATGTGTCAAGGGCCCTAATGAAAGTGGTAAACATGCTGTACATTTACAACCCTTTCAGCCCAGGTGCAGTCTCCCAGGCTCATGATCACTGATGGGGAATCGGCAGTGCAAGAACTCTAGCGCTGTTTAAGTACTTACAGAATGGGCTCATTTGCCCAGAGCTGTTTTTTTTTTTTTTCAAAACTCTTCATTTTATATGTACTACCACACTGTAGGATGTAGGATGGTTTGGGGAACTAGCCTCCCTACCCCACCCCCACCCCCAATCCCAAATCATTGCATTTCTTTAGTGTGAAGTTCTTTACGTGGATTATCTCATTTGAACCTCAACCCGACTCTAAAGTAGACAGAGTAGATCAGCAGCACCCCTACTGCCAAACTGGAGACACCCTGTGATCCAACATCTGCTGAGTTGTGAGGCTGGACCTGGACTTGAGACTGCGCCATACTATAGATCACACAGCTAGTCAGCAACAAAGACAAAATTTCCAAGAGCAGGTTATATTCAGCAGGAGATAAAACTATGCTGAGTTGTATATATTTGGAATCAAAGGTTCTGTTAGTATCTCCCTTCTTATGGTCACAGCTTCATGACAGTCAGGACTCTGTTTTTGCCACTCTCTGTATCCCCCCAAACTTACCCAGCCACTCATCCATCATTGAATGAATTGACTTGTGGAATAAGTGAATCTTGTCGTTTCCTTGTTCTTTTTTACTCCAACCACACAGCATGGCCTGCAGTGCCCCTTCTCTTTCACATGTCTAGTTTTACGCGTGCTGTTTCCTTAGCTCGACATCCTTGCCCTCACCTCTTGATTTCTTGAAGAAGCCTTACTTATCCCTCAAGACCCAGTTCAGCTCTTCTGTGAGGCTGTCCTTGCTATTCCTCCTCTCCTGAGGATTGAGAGAGATACCCATGTCCCCTTGGTAAGCCCCCATAATAGACTTAATTAAGCACATATAGTCATTGGGGTATTCAACTAATATTTCTAGGAGCCTCCTGTATATCAGACACCTAGTAGGTGCTGGGCATGCAGCAGTGAGAGATGTCACGCTAACGGTAAAGACTAGCATAAAAACAAACTAAGCGGTAAATGGTAACAGCAAATGGGTGATTAACTCAGAAACTGCCCTTGCACTTGAGATTGGAAGGATGAGGAGTTGTGCTAGCGCTGTGCTAGTGTTTACTTGTCCATTTCTCAACTACACGGCCACTTTGCCCCACCACCACTCAGCTGGCCTCGGAGCTCAGTGATTCTCTCCATTCCCAGGCCCCAGACCCAGTACTGGAGGCCCATCGTAGTTCCACACTGTTTGTGCTCCACGTATCAGGACCTCCGGGTGCCTGGCCCATGTTTCCAATTCCTTAGATTTAGAGCTGATGCAGGGCCTGGGAGAAGAGGTCAGATTTCTCACTCTTCTACTTGCTGTTTGTCAGCACTCTGTTTGTGCCTCAGTTTCATGTATTTAAACTGGAAATACCCTGTTTCCCCGAAAGTAAGACATCCCCCGAAAATAAGACCTACTTACAGTTTTGCCTCTCGCTGAACTATTAAGGCATCCCCCAGAAAATAAGACCTCCCCCAAAATAAGGCCCCCCTAAACTCTGGACTCTGGACCATAGCGGCGAACACCACCGCACAGCTCACTGTTGGCCACAGGCAGCTGGAGTACACAGGAAGTGCGAGGTCTCTTTTAATAAAACAATAAACAATAAATGTGTACCGTATTCTTCTTCATGGAAAAATAAGACATCCCCTGAAAATAAGACCTAGCGCATCTTTGGGAGCAAAAATTAATATAAGACACTGTCTTATTTTGGGGGAGAGAGAGTAAGAGTAAAACTGCATAGGGTGGGTTACTAGAAGAATTAAATGAAACTGCCCCTAAAATTCTTAGCCCACTGCCTGGCATATTGGAAATAGTAAAAAATAAAAATAAAAAGAAGAAAGGTAGTAGAGGACTCACTCTAATGTGCTCCTTAGGTGTTTGTTGAATGGATGGATGAGTGAAATATTAATCAAATTTGGTTTTAATTTCCGTAAATAAAAAATTTTTCACAAAACCAAAATCAAGTATCTCCAGTACTCTTACCTATTGTTTGTTTTAATTTGGACAACAAAGGGGCAAATAGGAAAAAAGCAAACCCAGTGCTCTTCACACCGCAATCAAGAGCTTTGCTTTGCGTGTAACGCAGGCTGTGAAAACCTAGCGGGTCCTCTGCGTCCTCCCTTTGAACAGTGCGCACCGGGGTCCAGCATGGTACAGGGGTACACAATCTGCCCACCCGGGGCCATGCTGCAATTTGTACTTTTTTATTTTTGGAAATCACGGTTTGAGGACTTTGTATTGAAAGAAATTCCTTTTGTGTGTCTCATACTTCATTTGTCATGGGAGGTCTTCAGGATGCCATAGCCAATGAAGGTCATGACAGTACCAGAGAGAACAGTGATGTTCCTGGAATGAACCTGGGAGACTGTTCTCACTGCACACAAAAATACCATTTCAGACCATTTCAGCAAACTTTTGGTAGTTAGCCGCTTACCCACCCCCAACCATTGGAAAATATTAAATGCCAAAATATGTGTGCAGAGATGAGAACCTTAAGAAGCCAGTGCCATAAAGAACTTTAAAAAAAGAAAGCCTTTCCACCAGAAAAGAAAAACAAACTGGGTTGTGATTACTACTGGTTGTATACATGTTTAAGGTATGGTTGTCCAGACGTGTTTTGATCATGAAATGCACACGTTTAACTTTTCTAGTAAAACAAACACGTACCACCATGAACTTCCATCAGAGCTCAACCAAGGTTTACCCAGGCTTCTTTTCTGTGGGCTGCAGGAGTGAATTCTTAGTTACTGGAAGGATTCACTCTGCTTTGATCGTTCGTCTTGTCAGCACCTTCCTGACCTGGGAAACCTTACCCACCTTCCCTGCCGCAGAAGGACGCTCCTCCGCTCTAAGAATCAGACGATATTTAGCACCCCGTTTCTCCCTCCTTCACATTTCTGATATTGTTTTCATTCACAAACCAATGCACCATAAACTTCATCTGGCTGCAGGTTCAAAATCTCTGTTTCTGCTCGGTAAGTGTGGAGGTGTGTCTGTCTGTCAGATCAGAAGTCCGTAGAAGAGCGTCTCATTCACCCAGCGCTTGCTCTCTGACAGGATGATGGGTCCTGGCGCTTTGCCGTGCTGCGCGCGCACGTGTTCGATTATGGGATAAGCATCTGCACTTTAGTGTGGGACAACTCGCAGCAGTCGGGAGAGCCTGAGAGGCCGTCACAGTGCTCAGAGGACAGGCTTCGTTTTAAATATTAATAGAAGGAAGACTGCTGATATGGGAAGGAAATTCACCATAACAAATGCATTCCCTTGACTCCATTCTAACATGGTACCAATTAAATTCAACTGTATATATAATGTACTCTTAATTTCTAGCAGTCCTAAGAAGGACTGATGTGAAAAATATTATATACTCTTGTATTTTACAGTTCAGGAACAGATGGGAAAAATTAACGCCAATTGGTAAATAAATTCACATGCAGTCGTATAATACACCTCAAGATGGTGTTGTGTGTGGGGTTTCTATTTGAAAAATAAAGTGAAAAGTTTTCTTGGGTAAATTTTAGTTACTAGTTGGGTTTTTTATAATGTGGTATATGTATTCCTCTCATAGACTTGAGTGTTTGAAACTGCAGGTAATCTGGTCACGGGTACAGCTGATAATGAGGTTTTTGTCCCTAGGAATGAGTGTTCCCTTTGCAAAAGATAAAGAATTGGTCAGGAGGCAAGATTTCCTAAAGCATTTCAAATTGTACTTCATTCACCCACACCACCACCACCCTGCCAAAAAATCATTTACACACAATGTTGTGGGAACAAATTTAGTGAGAAAATGGGAAAATTGGTCATAATGATAAGAGCTCTTTGGAACCTGAACATTCATGCTTGCTCTCCTCCTCCCTGTGCCCCGTGCAGCGCTGATCGCCATTGGGCGGCACAGCATGACCATCGAGACCGTGGATGTGGGATGGTGCAAAGAAATAACCGACCAAGGAGCCACCCTGATCGCCCAGAGCAGCAAGTCTCTGAGATATTTGGGGCTGATGAGATGCGATAAAGTAAGAGCTTTCTGCCAAACCCTCTTCTCTCTGTCAATATCGTTTGTAGCTTGCTATCGTTTTCTCTCCATCTCTTTGTACATATTCATAAAGATATATGATCGCAGCCATGTATCCTAAGATGCCTGGTTTTCTAAACTAATCTGTGATTCCGTTTGCGTTGCTCTGTTTCATAATGAATCTTATGCTTGTGTGGAAAGGAAAAGCAATCATCCACACAGTCAACTTAGAGTTTGTCCTCCGTTCTTCAAGTCATGGTCAAAAAGCAAGAGAGGGTTGCATGGCAAACTGCAATTTACAGAGCCCGGCAGTGAATTTCAGCTCTGGGTTCCAAGGTGTCTGCCACGGTGAGCTATAGAGAAGAGTGTCAGATTACTCGTCACAAGTTGTGTGATTCCACAACTGTGCATTTGGGGCCATTTTGAGACAGGGGATGGCCAGTGAGAGGATCATATGTGTGTTAGTCTGGGTAGACTACAGAAACGAATTCTTAGAGACCCTCATATGGGTATAAGAGAGAGTTTTATATAAAGGGTAATTGTACATTAGCAAAGCATCCCAACCCAGTCCAGACTAAGTCCATAGGTTCAATATTAGCCCATATGTCCGATACCAATCTCTAAAGTCCTCTTCAGACTCACAAAACACATGCAATGATGCTGAATGCAGGAAGATCACAAGCCAGTGTATCACAAGATCACAGTCTTGTGGATCCAGTGGCGTTGTAAACATCTCAGCACTGGCAGGGCTCTCCACCTGGCTTCTCCAATTCAAAGCACCAGTGTAGTTCTATGTCTTGTCAGCTGCAATGTCTCTCGGGGAGTGAGCAGAGAGAGTGTGTGTGTCCCCCACCTCCAAGGAGGAAATACAGAAATTCCCAGAATCCTCAAGGGAAGGCCATGCCCACACAGAGACCTCATTGGCTATACAATGATTGACAGGCTAGACCCCACCCCTTTACTTCTAATCCTCTGAAATTGACACCAGATTATGTAACTTCCACAGTATGTGGGAGCTTGGCTTTCTCCACACTTGAGAGGCCACTCTGAGCATGTGATGAGCAAAGGGACCAGCAACCCAGCTCAGGGGCCATGGGACTGACCAGAAACGTGAGTTTAGGAAATGACACTCCATCACCATAGGACCCTTGCCTGACAAGCTGACCAGAAAAATAATACAATAATCTATGTGGAACTACTGGTACCAGAGAAGCACTTTTCCCTAACTTACTTCCATTTTGTCTCCAGGAAAATACTAAGAATTAGTTAATTGGCATTGTAACGAGGTCCCAGAGCCACTCTACTAAGATTTCACCACAGACCTTGAGAATCTGTGCCCAGTGATATTAGCATTATCCTAGTGGATGTATTCTCTGCTTCCCTAAAAAAAGTTCACCTTAGATACTTGCTCAAAAAATGCAGTCATCTTTTACCAACTTACATATGGGTGCGTCATTTTGCAAATGATGATTAGGGCCAAACTTAGCATGCTTGGTAAAATGGAAGAACATTGGAAAAGAGGAAGAATCTCAAGGAGATACATTGACACAGTGACTCCAACAGTAGGCTCAATCTTAACAATTGTGAGGATGGTGCTAACCCAGGCCCTGTTTCTTTCCGGTGTACATAGGGTTGCTGTGAGGAAGAACTGTCCTTATGGTAACTAACAGCCTCTTTTGAGTCAGTCCTTACTCACTGTGAGCCTGGGACCCACAGAGGAAAACAGTGCCCAATCCTGCACCATCCCTGCCAGCATTGCTGGGTCTGAGGCCACAGTTGGAGCCACTGTGTCAATCCATCTCCTTGCAGGTCTTCCTCCTTTTCTCTGACCTTCTGCTTTGCCAAGCATGATGTCTTTTGTTTAGAGAGATTCTAGTATACATTCTTAGCCCAGCCTGCTTTTTAAAGGACTTACTTTGTAGCTAAGCAACAGCACTGAAACCCAGAGGTTGCGAGTCTGCATCCTACCTCACTATGAGCTAACCTAACACTGCTGCTAACCCTGTCACAAGAGACCAACTGCATTTAAACAAAAGCAAGGGGTCCACAGTGGGCGGCGTGCTGTAGAAACTCCACACAGTGACAGTGGAGCTGCCCAGCTTCCACCAGAAGGAGGTGCTGGTTGAGTGTTCTAGTCAAGGCCACCTAAATGGATGCCTTCCAGATGTACGTTGGCATCCACAGCTGATCTGGGCAGTCGCAGTATTTCTTATCTTTACCTCTTAGCTTGGTGAAAGTCGGCTCCATCAGAAAGCTGTATGATTGAGTTAGTGCAGAGGATTATTGCAGTCATATTTTTGAAAGAACGTTGACCTGAGTTTTACCAGTTAAGAAATGGGCACTTTTCTCCCACAAGTGCTCCAAATTAAATTCTGGAAGCAGTTGTGGTGTATGGGGGGGTGGGGGGGGCGGAGAACTGTACACCTGAGGGTTTCTGCCCTTTCCTCGGGCAGTTTCTGAAGCACCTCTCTCCGACCGCAGAGCTTCCCTGCCAGTCTAGCACCTTGCTTACTGCAGTGGAGCCCCTCTCAAGGAACCGCTGCACCCAACCGTAATGCGTGGGGTCCTCGGGCTCAAGGGAATCCCGAGCCAAACATGAAAGATTCTGTGAGGGTAAAAGAAATCCCCAAACCAGACGCAAAAAACATGGACAGTCTTGAACTTAGAGGCCTTTGTTACTTTGAATGGAAGCTTAGAGTTACGTAACTTTGCAGTTTTTCATATTTTATATTATTTCTTTACAACAAACATTATTCATCTGTTGGGTTTGAACCACCAATCTTTTGTTCAGCCGTCCAACACTTACTGGACAATACCACCAGTCCCCTGTGTTCTACATGGTGTGATTTTAAATTATAATCAACATTCAAAGACTGACTTGAGTAGAAAATAAGTACAAGAGGTCAAGGTAGAGTTTAGGTTCACATTAGGTCCTCGCTTCCTAGTGTTGTCATCTTGGGAAGCCAGTTAACCTTTGAGCTCCAGCAGTTCCTCCTCGGGTGCATCACGTGCATTATAGAAGTGTTCTGAATATTCAAATTACTTTTATAGAATAATGTTTGTATAGAAAATGCATGTTTATGAGGATTATTCTTACAATGAACAATCTGTTATGTTGATCATTAGTCTGTTTGGTGATATTTGAACTTACTTGTGAGAGAACAGATGTGTTATTCCCCCCACTGTTTCATTTTGCAAAAAGAGCCTTTGATGGCATCGTGGTTAAGAGTTCGGCTGTTCACTGACAGGTTGGTGGTTTGAACCCATCGACCACTCTGCCGGAGACACACGCAACGATGTGCTTCCATAGAGATGGCGGCCTTGGAACCCGATGGGGCAGTTCCGCTCTATAGGGTCATGGTGAGTTGTGTTCACCTCTATGCAGTTGGATTTCTCATCCTGTTTTCAGTGGGTTATCTCATTTGGAAAGGATATTTAAATTTTAAACTCAGAAAAGATGCCGTCTTATTACTTTTCCTGCCCACACTTAAAGTTAAGAGTACTGGTTTTTGAACAAGAACATCAATAATTATCTTTTCTGCAAAATGAGTTGTCACACTCAATATTTGGAATTAATTTACTAACGATCTTACCCAGTCCTAGAATGAAGAAAGTTTTACAGCGTGAGAAGAAAGTGAACTGCAGATAAGAAAGTGTGAATAAAGAAACAAGAAGAAAGTCATAAAAAAAAAAAAATCAAGACGAGTATAACAGGAAACAGAAAAAAACCGTGGGGCTGGGGCCTAGAGAAGATCTGCTGTCTGGCTCTCAGCCTTGTCATCAGCTGTGCTAACAAAGCATTCAAGAACAAATGTCACTCCAGCCTAGCACCCAGCTCCTGTGCCTTGACCAAAATCTGCTGAACATTGATAACACTCTGATTCCTTCGAGTCCTCCTCCTTTCTGTACACCAACTGGCTTCATGGGAGGCAGAGGGCTCAGGGACCTGTGCAGATCAGTCAGTCACGGAAGCCTCCTTGGAGAGAGGTGGGGGGTGTCTGTGTGCCCCAGCTCTCCTGCTCTAGCATCCTGTAGCTCTGAGAAAGACTGAAGGCTAGTTCTCTTTCCTTTCACGTGCGGCTCATTTCATTTGGGAGCCATTTATATTTCATTTGGAGGCTATATTTTACCAAACTAGTGATTTTTCCCCCATTTCAGCTTTTGAGGAATTATGAGAATCATAAAATGTGTTTTATTTGTTCTAGGAAAATGTGTTTTTTTCTTTCTCTCATGTTATGTAAACAGAGAACAGATGAGAAGCATTAGCAAAACACATTCTTTGCACATGAAAGCAACATGTTCTTGAACTGTCGGACAATGTCTAAACCAACCTGCAGTAAATTTGTTTGGCCGCAGCATGGGTCACCCTTACGGAAGAGTCCTCCGGCCATTCAGCAAGCGCAGCAGCATTCCCCAGGTAGTTGTAAAGTTAGGAAGTGCTTTAAGAAGGCCTTGTCTGAGTCGCTTTTCTGATTGCTGGCCGGATAAGCACGTTAGAGCCATTACTTTGGGTTTGGAAGCTGAGGTCACTTAATCTCCTAAACTTTAGTCCATTGTAAGGACCCAGAGAAGAAAACGCTGTGTGAGACGGCTTTGATGAATTGGGGTGAGCTTATATTCTTAAAGACTGTTCAAAGGCTTACTTGACCTTGGGAATTAGAGTTGACCTAAAATCACCTGTCAACTTAACGCACATTTATTTGGTGGTTTGGTTAAAACTGACGTGTACAATCAATGAGGCTCACTAATAAGAGCAATATGTTTACTCTGGTTCCCACAATTAGAGACCGTCAGTGACTTGGATCATAGAAATTGTTTTCACAGCTTCAGTGAATTCTGGATTCTGTATAGATCTGTTTCTTCAAATAATAGGATATTTTTCTCATTTGTTACAAGCAGTTTGGAAGAAGAACAAAATTGAACTCCCCACTCCCACTCCCCAACCCCCCAAAAATCCCTGGGAAAGCTGTAGGGCAAATGGAAATGCAATGTTCAAGGTTA